CAGCCTTTTCCTCCTTCGTGAGTCATTTTGAATTGACACTTTCATCAGCTTTTTTTGTTACTTTTCGCAGCCTCTTTTCCGAGCGCTTTTGAGTTTCTACTTTGCCCCTCCGTATTGGAGCGTTTTGTGTTGTTCTTGTGGCCACTCCTTTGAGTGTGTTTTTTGTTAATAAACTTTGGAGTTTTTTGACAAGTTCAATGACTGAGTCCTCTCTGAGTTCCGCCGGCCTGACAGTACACACTGGCCAGGATGGACTCAGCGGAGCTGAACCAGATCGCCGCCGCCATGCGAGATCAGGAGGCACGGCTCCGCCATCAGGAGGAAGGCCAGTCCTCCATGGCAGCCCACATCGGCGCCCTGACGAGCTAGCTCCAAGAACTGGTGGAGCGACTGCCGAGCAGGACCACGGCCGAGGACACCTGTCCTCAGGGGGTCCATGTTTACGGTCCCCGGGTTGGCCTCGCACCCCCCGAGCGCTTTTCGGGCGACCCTGGGCAGTGCGAGTCCTTTTTGACTGACTGTGCTATCCACTTCAAATACTCCCCACAGGCTTTTCCCAGTGACCGGTCCAAGGTGGCCTTCATGATTTCACATCTGACGGGGCGAGCCAGGGCATGGGCCACGGCCGAGTGGTCCCGGGACTCCCCCGCCTGCCACAGCCTGGCCGCGTTCATGGCGTCACTAAAGACAATTTTTGATCCGGTAAACTCCGACCGAGAAAAAGCCCAGTGGCTAACCGGACTAAAGCAAGGTACTGGCAATGTGTGCGACTACGCGATTGCCTTTCGCACTCTGGCAGCGGAGAGCGGCTGGAACTCCGCTGCCCTTTATGACGTGTTTTTGCAAGGGTTGGCGAATCCGATTAGGGAACTGTTGGTCCCCCTGGACCTTCCTCTCGACCTGGATGGCCTCGTCGATTTGGCCATCCTGACCGACAACCGGCTCCGGGACCTCCGCCGGACCTCCTACAGGGAGAACCCCGCAGGGGTTACTCCGCCTCCGCCGAAGCTGGTAAGGCCCGCAATCTCTCCAGTGGCTGCGACTCTGGGCCCCGCCCCTGCACGGACGGGGGAAGAACCTATGCAGCTCGGACGTGCCCTTGTTTCCCCGGAGGAACGTCAGCTGCGCCACCTGGAGGGGCGATGCTATTATTGCGTTGCGAAGGGACATCTGGTAGGGGTGTGCCCAACCACGCAACCTACCTTGCACGCCCCTGTGAGTACCGCCGCTCTAACGCCCCCGCACCACGGTTCAGTTAACACACCAAGTAGGGCGCTCAGAATTGGAGGGTTGGGTGGACTTGGGGGCCGATGAGAGCTTCATGGACTGGAGCCCGGTCCGTAAATTGAAGATCCGGGCCCGTCTACTAGAAAGCCCCATCATCGCCAGGGGGTTACATAACAAGGAACTGTTCCAAATCACCCACTCCACAGAACCCATCCATGTCCAGATTCAGAACCACCACGAAACCATGACTTTCTATTGTATTCATTCACCGTCTCACGCAGTGATCCTCGGCTTCCCCCGGTTGGTCCGGCACGACCCACAAATAAACTGGCGCACGCGAGAAATGACGGCCTGGGGGGAGGAATGTGCCCCTCATAGCGACCCCAGCCACGGGGTCATGGCTATTAACTCTGTGCAAAGGTAACCACCACCCAGCTCTAAGTGCTGTACCTCCCGAGTACCACCATCTCCGGGAGGTCTTTAGCAAAGCCAAGGCCCTGTCTCTCCCGCCGCATAGGCCTTACGATTGCGTCATCAACCTCATCCCCGGTTCCACCCTCCCCAAGGGCAGAGTCTACGCCATTTCAGGCCCCGAGAAGGAAGCCATGAGGGAGTACATCAGCACCCCGCTGAAGGCGGGGCTAATCCGCCCGTCCTCCTCTCCGGTAGGGGCAGGTTTCTTCTTCGTCGCCAAGAAAGATGGCTCCCTCAGGCCGTGCATCGATTACAGCCCTTTGAACACCATTAATATTAAGAACCGGTACCCTCTCCCCCTCATGTCCTCTGTATTCGACCAACTCCAACAGGCTCAGGTGTTCACCAAGTTGGACCTCTGAAACGCCTACCACCTGGTCCGCATTAGAGAGGGGGACGAGTGGAAGACTGGTTTTAACACGCCCAGTGGGCACTACGAATACCTGGTTATGCCCTTTGGACTCACTAATGCGCCAGGGGTATTTCAAGCCTTGATTAATGACGTCCTTCAGGACTTTCTGACCGTTATGGTACTCATACTTTGACCGTTTCGTTTATGTGTACCATGATGACATTTTAATTTACTCGCATGACCTAAACACCCATTGGATTCACGTGACCCAGGTGCTGGAGAGACTACTTAAAAATGACTTATATGTTAAAGCAGAGAAAAGTGAATTTCATGCCACAACCATCTCCTTCCTGGGCTTAATTGTAGCACCCGGTAAGGTGCAGATGGATCCGGCTAAGATTAAGGCTGTCACTGATTGGCCCGAGCCAAATAACCGCAAGAAGGTGCAGGAATTCCTGGGGTTTGCTAACTTCTACAGGCGGTTTATCAGGGGGTTCAGTGCTATAGCGGCCCCATTGCACGCCTTGACCTCGCCCAAGGTTCCTTTTTTCTGGTCCCGACAGGCCGACGCAGCCTTCCGGCTCCTGAATCAGCGCTTCACCTCGGCACCCATCCTCATAGTGCCGGACATTTCCCGGCAATTCATAGTGGAGGTCGACGCCTCCAACGACGGGATCGGGGCGGTCCTGTCTCAGAGATCCCCTCAGGACGGCAGGGTGCACCCCTGCGCGTTCCTTTCTCGACGCCTAACCACAGCAGAACGGAACTACGACGTGGGCAACAAGGAGCTCCTAGCGGTAAAGGTGGGGCTGGAGGAGTGGCGCCACTGGCTGGAGGGGGCGATCCTGCCGTTTGTGGTTTGGACGGACCACAAAAACCTGGAATACATTCGGCAGGCTAAGAGACTGACATCGCCGCTTTTCTGCCACCCGGGGGTCCGGCGAACTATGTTCACCATCTCTAGGCTGTTCTGGTGGCCATCCATGGAGGCGGAGGTCCGGGAATACGTTGCTGCCTGCCTGGTCTGCTCCCGAATAAAAGCCTCTACCCGACCACGTTCCGGACTGCTCCAACCGTTAACGATTCCCTCCTGGCCCTGGTCGGACATCTCTGTAGATTTTGTGATGGGTCTCCCAGCGTCGCTGGGAAACACCATGGTTCTCACTGTAGTAGACCGCTTCTCAAAGATGGTCAGATTCATAGCCCTGCCTAAGCTGCCGTCAGCCAAAGAGACGGCTGAGGTCCTGATGACTCAGGTGTTCCGAAAACATGGGTTCCCAAAGGACATGGTCTCAGATTGGGGACCCCAGTTTATCTCCAGGTTTTGGAGGGAGTTCTGCGCCCTCATCGGCACTAAACCCAGTCTGACGTAAGGTTACCACCCAGAGGCTAATGGGCAGACCGAGCGGCTGAATCAACAACTAGAGACCGGCCTCCGCTGCCTGGTGGCCCAGAACCTGGTGACATGGTCAAAGCACCTGGTCTGGGTCGAGTACGCCCACAACTCTTTGCCTACGTCCGCAACAGGTTTCACCCCGTTTAAGTGCCTTTATGGTTAGGACCCCCCTTTGTTCCCAGCTCTAGAGCGCGAGGTCATGGTTTCCTCGGCCCATGCCCTGATCCGCAGGTGCCGCCGCATCTGGGCGGCAGCCAGACTGGCCCTCTCCCGACAAGGGGACCGGGTCAAGAGAGCGGCTGACCGTCGGCGAAGACCTGCACCCGAATACCGACCCGGCCAAATGGTATGGCTCTCCGCCAAAGACTTACAGCTACGGTGTGAGTCCCCGCCTCGAAGGTCGTCAACCCGGCAGCGGTGAAATTGCGCCTTCCCCGATCCCTCCGGATTCACCCCACGTTCCACGTCAGCCAAATCAAGCCGACCAAGGAAAGCCCCTTGGTCCCCCCGACGCCTCCCCCACAACCCCCGGATATCTCCTGGCTGTGCATCGCAGGGGCCGGGGGCGGCAGTTCCTCGTCGACTGGGAGGGGTACGGCCTGGAGGAAAGGCTCTGGGTCCCTTCCCAGCACATCCTGGATTGCTCCCTCATCGACAAATTCTTCAGGGCCCACCCTGAAGAGCCTGGGCCGTCAGGAGCCGGTGTTCAGTCAGGTCAGCATACCCCGACAGACCAGCATGCCCATAGTCTTACGCATGCGCAAACATGCGCGAACATGGTTGCGCATGCGTATTACTGCGAAAAGTTGCGAACACTTGGAGAACACAGATCGCCATACCTTTCAAAAAACACCAAAAAGTAAGTAATTAAATTATTATATTGTACATAACAAAAGGGATACACGCCTGTTGAGGTAGTTTACAGTGTATTTTTCGTACAAAACTAAAGGGATACTCGCGCGTTGAGGTAGTTTCAAGTGTACTTAGAGAAGGGTCTAGCTGCACCTGCAGCCATCTACAAAACGCGTCCCGTAAAAAACATACCTCCCGCCCAGCCAATCGTTGATTTCGATTTACGTCATCTTGGATACAGTTTAATTTAAGTGAATCAAACTTGAGCATGATGCTTACTAAAAAACAAGGTTGTAGTTAGCACATAAAAAAGTAATGATAATCTTGTTAAATGTTGGGATTAAAGGAACAGTTCAATCGATGATCAAATTTATGTACAATTTTGCCACGTATTTTATTTGCTTATATCCTGTAATTTTCCAGGGACTACACATGCTTTAAATACGAAATAGTTAGAAATAGCATTTATAAGTTAATTTGTATAAAATCCTCAAGACATTCTTGTTAAAATGCTTATTTGATATATATTTCTGGGGGGGGGTGCATTTATAGCAAACATGGAGAGCAAGTGGGAAGAGATCTTCAACTTTGTGTCTGAAGGTTCCTATCCTCCGGAATTTAGCAAAGGGCTAAAGATAGTAAATGCTTAATTTACTTTATTTACCAGACAAGGTGGAAGACCACTGCGTCTCCTGCAACATGCTGGACCATGATGGGAACCAGAAAGTCACTTATATGGTAAAAATCCTACTGTAGAATTTAATAGTTTCTATGCAGTACACTTCTAACTCATTTTACTTTCTTTTTCTTTCTACCTTGCAGATACAGTGTGACTTCTGGCCAAGGTGGACACACAATGAATGTGCCCCCACTTTTCTGACATATTAAAATGTAAGAAGTGTCAGCTAAATTAATTTTATATAAAGTAGAGTAGGTTTTGTACTGTGAGTTATCTCTAATAAACCAGATAAGTTCCATTGGCATTTGGGTATTTATTTTAAGCCATATGACAATAAACTTTGGTTCAATCACACAGGTGCATCACTTTTCACATCTGTGAAATGACGTTCAAAATAATTATCTAGAATGACAGCGATTAAGAGATGACAGTCAAAAGAAAAAGTTGCAAAAAACCATCTCCTGTATCTGTTGGGTACACCCTATCTGTTAAATAAGGTAAGACCACACCCCTAAGCAATCACCTGGTGTGTAGCTAAAATCTGAATACCTGTACATACATTTCGAAATGGCAAATTCATTTTGTCGAAGTGTATGCTGAAATGCTGATCTGACGGGCTAGGTATGATGATCTGGCGGGCTAGGTGTGCTGATCTGACGGGCTGATCTGATCAGATCATCATAACTAGCCCGTCAGATCAGATCGCCTCCTGGCTGTCTTTTTGGCGAGCCAGCCAGGAGGATAGGACGCCGGTTGATTTCAAGACCATCAGCTCCCCTTCCTCTACCCAAGAGTCGAGTCTTCATCTTCATTTAGTGGAGAAATGGAGGAAGTCCAGCTTCTGCGAGACCATGTAAGTGCAGCCTTATGGCAACTGAAAGAGGGACCTCTCATGCGTGTCTGCAGGTCTTTAGAGTGTGATGGCCTGGACAACAGCTTTCTCCACCACGTCACCTACATGTCACGCCAGCGGTGGAGGCAATCACACATGAGGAGCACTCACCACTGCACCAACTCCACTTTAAGAGCCCAGAACCTCCACTCAAGAGCCCAGCACATTCGTGGCCTGAGGTCACACCAAGGAGAGAGTTCAAAATATTTGGACAAATAGGAGAAAGTGGGCAGAAGGATAAGCTGTCCTACCTCAGCCTCCTCAGACAGATTGAGATGGGCACAGAAAAGGGGCATGGGGAGACGGAGATAACTGAAGCGGTGATCAGGGCTGTGAGTCCAGGACTGCCATTGAGAGACATGTTGGAGATAAAACGCGGCTTTACACTCCCCGCTCTCCTAACCATCTTGAGAGGTCATTATAAGGTTGATAGCTCCACAGACCTTTACCACCAACTCATTAGCCTGTCCCAAGAGCCCAAAGAGACGGCCCTAAATTACGTGTTCCGTGCCATGGAGATAAAGGAGAAATTATTGTGGAAAGCTGAGAATGGGGATGCTGAGGAACATTACAGTGGAGCCACCATCCAGCGGAAGTTTCTCAGGTCCATTGAAACAGGGCTATTGAGTGATGCTGTTAAGTTTGACATCCTACCTCACCTCAATAATGTAAGAACCACAGACGAAGAACTCATAGAGAGAGTGAATGAAGCGTCAAAGCTGGAAAATGAACGACAGGAAAAACTAAAGAGGTTTTCTGCTGCTAGAGGCTCCAAGGTGCATGAGCTCAACTGTGATGTTCAAACCGACTCCATTCTGTCCAAGAGTGCGCCTCCATCCAAAGAATCCAACACAACGGTGGTTGTCAAAGCGATGAAAGGCAAAGAGACCAAAAACGAGCAGATCTTGAGCAAACAACAGATGATCGAAGAGCTGCGCACTGAAATGAAACAGATGTTGTCCGCTGCTTTGGAAGCTCACCCTCATCCTCCTGTGGAGAGACAACGGAGCAGAGGTTGTCAAAAATGCAGAAATGATGGGGTAGGTGAAAATTGTACACACTGCTTTAAGTGTGGGCAGGATGGCCACTTCTGCCGTGGTTGCCGGGCCCAGAGATCGTTGCAGGGAAACGGGCCGGGACGACTGCGGCGGGATCACCAGTAGTCCAGGATCGAGAGTCCCAAAGTCAGCAGAGACATGTCCACTCTTCTTCGCCAGAGACAGTGAGCAAAGACAAAGAAACGGCAGTGAACACAATCCAGTACCTCCCCACCAAGCACCAATCACAGCTATGGGGACTGGTTGGAAGAAGGTGCATGGTCAATTGCTATATGGACGATCACCCCGTAAAAGTGTTGTGGGACACAGGTGC